AGCACTCTAAATAGGAAACGTTCAGGAAGGCACTGGAAGCTTGTTTACAGAGTTACTATTTACTGAGATGCAAATGTAGGGAAATTCAAAAGCTCAGATTTTATAACAGCTAGGTTTTATAGCAACTAGGCCATAAGTTCCAGAAGAAGGCAGAGTTACACAGAACAGTTGGGCTTGAGATGATTAAGGGCCCTCAGTCAAGGGACACAGGAAGCACCTGGATAGGAAGGTAGCCTTAAAATAAAGACCTGATCTTATTGCCCTGCTTGCTCTCACGTTCTGCTGTGCTTTCTTGAGGTAGAAGTAAATGAGCTGGCCCTTCTCCTTGCCTCTGACAGCACGGAGGGTGTGACCCAACTGACAGCTCACGTTCTGGCCTGCACTCCACATTGTCTCCTAAAGGGTGGCCCAGGGTGTCTTCCTGCCAGCTCTGCATAATCTCAGTGGCTGCCATTGGCCACACAAACAGGAGCTATGGCTGGGCAAAGCCCCAGATGTGTGTTCCAGCCTGTCCTGCTCTGGGCTGCACCAAGGCCTGTTGCTGCCTCCCTGAGGAGCAGGCAGAAATGAGGCCTGAGAAGGCAGACTGAGGAACCAGAGCCCATTACTAATGTCTCCCAAGTTCTAACACTCCAACAGGCCACAATCAGTATCTTCTGGAGGTGCCCTCCAAAGCAGGAGCATTTGCAACATCAGTCCGTCCATTTGCATAGAAATGCAGAGCTGTCAATCAAGCAGCCACTTCATCGAGGTTCCCCAGAGCTGTAATGAAGACATTTGCAACTGTCGTAGATTCCCTGAAGCTGTTCCGGGAGATTAGCTTCAGCCACGGTAGGCTTGAAACACAGACCTGTTGCAGGAGACTCCATCCTGCAACTGCTCATGAGCACATGAGGACTCCACCCTGGAACCTCCAGATGACACTGTCATCATTCTGTCACGACCGAGAAAGTTCTCAAATGGGTATGCCAAAGCTGTGTGTGTGTCCAGCCAGTTCTTGGTCCTCTTCCAAAGCAGCACTCATTACACTCCTCAGGGCAGCCAAGGAGGTGTCCCTCTTGTGCACTACCTCATCCCCACCCCATGCTGTAGCGAAGTTTCCAGCTATAACACCCAAGGCTGAGAGTCACTGTCTCTTAAAGCCTAGAGCTGCTAACATTACAGAGCTTCAGCTTGCCAGTTTATGATTTCTCTCCAAATTGTACAAAAGAACCCTCAATTAATAGTGACATTCTCATTGGTTCAACCCAACTAGAAGATATATGATAAAAAAAATCAATTGGTGTTCATGCAGGTTAGTATCCCAGGCAGAGAGTAGTGTAGAGAAGGCTGGGGTGGAGAATGGGTTGATAGGGAAAATATTGGCATACCAAACGCAGAAAAACAGCAATAAAGTATATTATAAAGACAAAAAAAGTAGGGGAACAATCCTTTGTTAGAAGTATGTAGCATAAAATGTTGATGACCTACTTGCTTGGAAGCAGAGGAAATACATTTGATGCATTTGTCTGCATCTTAAGCACTGGCCCTTGGAAAGATTTCTTTTGTCCTTCAACTCTTAGGACTGACTCTGAGAGGTGTATTGGAGTTGTCTGCCTTGGTATTTGCATTACCTTTCTAAGCACAAATTATTCCAGATAAGCATTGTAGCATACATCTATATTCCCAGCGCTCTGGGAGACTGAGGCAGGAGAATCATAAGTTTGAACCCAGCCTGGGGAAAATTAGTGACTTAGCGAGTCTCTGTCTCAAAATAAAAAATAAAAACGGGCTGGAGATGTAGCTTAGTGTAAAGTTCCTGAGTTCAATTCCCAGGGCCACACCAAAAAAAAAAAAAAACAAACAAACCCAACAGCAAAAAAATCCTCTTCCTTATAGGGATAGAGATATATTCCCAAGGGCTGTATTATAAATGGAATAATTTCTTTTTTTAAATTTAATTTAATTTTTTA